TTTTTTTTTTTTTTTAATGTTACATCTCTGTGTATTTCTGGCCTCTGCAACATCCTGTCTCTAATAATTCTATAATATAATTATGTACAGGGTGAAAAAGTACTTCGTTTTGTTTGTTTCGAGCACACCACCTTATTTCATTTGGTAACTCCTAGGTCTTGTAGATCTGGAAATTTATGAACAGGGTTTTTTTTCCTGTTCATCTGGTTTTTACCACTCTTGAAGGCTTTGGGTTTATGTCTTAGGTTGCCAAAGACAAACCAAGACAGTTTATTTTCATAAGTGGCAGCACTTTTTCTCCAAGTCATGGAGTTGAAGTTTTTTAGCTTCTTTTCAAACTAAATCTCTTCTATTCTCTGATAATTGCTGCTGCCTTTCTCAGTGGTTTTCTAGTCCCAGCTCTGAGTCTTTTTCCTAGTTCGTGGCCTTTAGCAACCTCTTTTGTTCTTTGTGTACTTCTCCTTTGTGAAATAAAAGTACAGTTCTGTTATGAAAATTAAAGTTGAGTGGCTGATATAGTACTAAGCTCTGGTGATAATAATCCTACTAGGCAAGGATCCGATTGGGATTTATACTTCAGATGCAGGCCACCTTCTGCTGTAATTAATTGTTTCCTCTGATTAGCTATAACTGTCTTCCATCATCTCTTGCAACTAGGTGTAAAAATCAGAATTAATACGAATTTTTTCATGGTGTGCTGATTTAAATAATGCCAGGATTTAAAATACTCTCTCCATGCTAGTAAGAGTTCATTGTTTTGGAAGATGTGACTTTTGAATATTTCAGCTGACCTTTTTAAACTGTTAAAGCCCAACATTTTCTGAAAATACTGGGAAATTTCTGGTATTACTTTTTTTTTTTGAAAGATTGAAAGATAAATTTGAGACTGCACTGGTTGGGTTTTATTTTCTTACTTGAAGTCTTTGTAGAAAGCTACAGAAGAAATTCACATAGAGAGAAGAAAAGGAATCTTCCCTGACCCTTCCATGACAGGGAGCATCCTGCCAACAATTGTTGTCAGCCAGAGCTTGGCAGCCACCTGGACTGAGTGGAACTTTCTGGTTCTGGTGACTGCTTTTTGTTCAGATGGTTGAAGTGAGCACCCCTAGGTGAGCCTGGCCTCAAGAACCAGGCTATTTGGCTCTAATTGAGTGAAAAGTGAAGAATGTGTCTTGTTTTTGCCACCCCGTGTCCTTAAGGCTGTACAAAAGGCCTCAGCAATATGCAGATGGTGTCTTGTGTGTCTCTGGTGAGACAAACTGATGACATGTCTGTGTCATTAATCCAGCCCAAGTGCTTCAGGATACCCAGTGTTCCAGCACTGCTCTCCAGTGACAGGTCCTGCTCTCCCGTGGTGGGAGTTGAGCATTTTAGACATTCACTGTATGTTGTATAGTGTACAAATACTGTGTAAAATCTGAACACTGGGCAGCTCTGTAGAGCATAGCTGGTGCTGTGAACTCTTGGTGATGGCCAGGGTAGAAAAAGGCATTAGAGGGCTGGAGATGGTTAGCTTTGATACAACTAGAACAGGCTGAGTGCCTTGAAAGCAAATTTGTTTTGTTTTCACAATCCATCTCAGTCAAATGAAATACATCATCTCTTCGTTCAACCCTTGCCTCACTTCACATTGTAAGAGTGGGAGATAACTTGATTACCAAGATCAAATGATGATGTTTTAGAGGAGGAGCCATCTGGAGTTTCTGAGTGAGCAGCTGGCAGCCTGGGCTGCACAGTTAATGATCTATGTGCCTTGCAACTATTTTTTTCTGCTACAAAACCTTTTAAGAGTCTTTAGAGATCAATCTACCCCACTGCCTCCAAGTAAGATGCTATCTGTGAAATTGCAGACAAATGTTCACTTTTAAAAGCTCTTTCCACAGCACCCTCTTTTTTCCTTTCTATTAGTATTAGTATTTTTTGTTAAGACTTGTAATGAATCCTTAATTTGCTGTAGTTTGGTGCTTGGCTTTGCTTGGCCTAGTAGTAGCTGCTTTGCATTTTGTCCTGCATGATTACAGCTGTACTGCCTGAAGTGATTTCCAAACTTCATGTGGTCAGTTTTAATGGAAATACATTTTCTTGTTGAAAATCTTAAGATGTTTGAAAACAGCCATGGTAAAGACAGTGCAGTAAAACTCTTCTCTCTGCATGACCCAAGGTTTTTGGAAGCCTTTAATCTCTCTTGGTCCTTGCCAAGTAATGTTAACTGAGTGGGAAGTTTTAACTAACTTAGAATTATCTATCCTTGCCAGAGCAGCAGTGGGCAAGAAATTTAACTAGGTATGGAGCTTCTGGTCAGTGAGGCAGCTCTGATTTCAGGCTTTTTAATCATCTCCAAGCCAAACACTTCTTTTTAGGCCTGCCAGGCATTTCCAGCCTCCCAAAAAGCTGCATCAGACAGTGCCATGCGGTTCTGATGTGGGGGACCAGGAGAGAGTCCCAGCAACACCGGGGAGTCAGAGGTTTGCCTGGAAAGGCTGCAAAGCTCTGGAGGCAATTCCCTAAAAACAAACAGAGCCAAGTTGAGAGTGGTGCCCTGCCAGCCTCTCCTGATTGATGCTATTGGTAGCCCAGGCTGCAGCTCCAGGCACAGCCAGGCAGGCAGGAGAGCACAGCCAAGATTCTTGGGTCTGTGGCTCCACCAGATGGATGGTCCTGAGGCCAGGCCACTGCTTTTTCTTTTGAAAGAAAAAAAAAGCATATTTTGAAGAAGAAGCTTTTGAAAGCTGGGGAGGGTTGATATCGCTTTAAAACAGAACTGTATCTTGAAGTAGTAGAATCCCCCATGAGAAGGAGGGGTTTCTTTAGCATTGCTTCTTTTTCCCCTATAAGCTCTTCAACTCCTATCAGCTGTGATCTCAGCCTCTCCACTTGAGCTCTTACCTGCCAACTCTCTTCCTTTGTATTTCACTCTTTGGCCAGTAGCCAGGTATCCCACCCCCATGCCTTCCACACTGTGCTGAAGTAAGTGGAGAAAGGCAGGGAGAGCAAAAAGATGGTTTAGGACCAGTGACTTCTGCCCCATGTACCTGTTGGTGTAGCCAGTTTTTCTGAACTTGCTTTGTATTGGTTATGAGCCCCTTTTCTCCAGTTCTATTGCAGAATGGAAGCACCAAGAGAAAAACAGGATTTGGGAACAGATGGCTGGGAGAGGAAAATAAAAAAGATGGAGCAGCTGCACACGACACAGCTGTGCATTGCTGTACAGCTTCTCTGTTGGCTCCTTGGACACAGCCAGGTTTTTCCATTGTGTCTCAGAGTCCCTGTAAGGGGATTGATGTCTGAGTACTTACCAGATAAAAGATTTGGCTTGGGGTACATGTCAAGATTCAGAAAGGAATGAATTTTGATTAAATAGCAATTCTGTGGCCAATCTGTCTTCCAAACCATTTAGGAATGAGGATGGGTGGTTTAATTTTTGAAGTGACACAAAATGCTTAACAGTCCAATGAAGAGTTCTGAAATATGTGTAATGCTTAATAATATTCATCACTTCTGCTTTAGAAAAACCCACATGCTTCCACAGTTAAATTGTTAGTGAAGTATTAATAATAAAATGACATTCTCATTTCATACAGACATGTAATTCCCCAGAAACGTTAAAAAATACACATTTAAAAAAGATACTTGTTAAAGTTGCCACAATTGCTTTTTACTATTTTTCTTTTGCTCTGTTTAAGGAAAACTGAAATTGGATTGTAGTGAGGAATCAATGGTGATCGTCAGTGACTTCAGCTCCAGAGGACTTTGCTGGCCTGTCAAGGTGTCTCAGTGCTTAGGGACACAGGGAACCCTCCTAGGAAGGATGTGAGCCTGGTGACTGGGGTGAATCAGAAGGGCTCCTCAACAAAATGGTTTTGAG